CAGGAAACTAGATGAGGTCAAATAATCCATGCAAGTTGATGTTTTCTTGATTTGTGCTTCTGTGAAAGTGTAATAATTCTGATCATTGTAAAAAGAAATCTATAAAATGACAATAATTGTGATTTTTGAGCTAAATAATCATGATTGATTATATATTTAACTGTAAAGCAAGTAATTATTTTGATGAAGGATCAAGACAACAGACTTTTTCCTTTGGAAAAACATGCACGCATGAATCGCTTATAAAACCGGGAATGTTTATAGAGAAAGTAAACAGGTCATCTTGACTTTAAGAGGATATTTCTTTTCTATTCTTGCAGTTTGTATCTAGGAAATCCCAGCGCATCCCATGCAATTTACTGCTAGACATGTAAACAAACATTTACTGGGTGGATGTTGGATCTGATGAAGACTGCAGTGAGACTAAATAAAACAGACGTGTGTTTAGTTCTAGCTGGAGTTAAGCTGAGTGCAATAAAAGCAGCTCAGTTTTACTGAGATTGTAAGTCATGTGTTGTCAGTCACTAGAACGCGGTGCATCTCGCAGCACATTGTAAAGGGTAGCGTCTGACCACCCCTGGCTCTGAGATACCCTTCTGTGGTTCTGCAAAGGTCAACTTAGCATGGAGCTATGCCTGACTGCATCCCTTTAGAGACTGTCACACTCTCAGCCTCGACATGTTCAGAACGGAGCTGGTTTAGACCGACTGACTCGCCGGTTACTATGAAGATTCCCCGTCCTCTCCTGCTCTTCCCCTGCGGCCACACTCTTAAAAATAACAGTTCCTTACTGGCACTGAAGAACCTTTAATATTCATGCAACCCTTTCATTGCACAAATGGTTCAGAAAATTGTTCTTAGGATTATTTAGATATTCTTTACACTACAATTTTTTTTAAAGGAATAGTTCACCAAAAAAGAAATATTTGCTGAAAATGTGCTCACCCTTAGGCTTTGATGAGTTTGTTTCTTCATCAGATTTGGAGAAATGTAGCATTGCATCACTTGCTCAACAATGGATCCTCTGCAGTGAATGGGTGCCGTCAGAATGAGAGTCCAAACAGCTGATAAAAACATCACAATAATCCACAAGTAATCCACACCACTCCAGTCCATCAGTTAACATCTTGAGAAGACAAGATCTGTGTGTTTGTAAGAAACAAATCCATCATGAAAGCGTTTTTAACTTAAACCATCACTTCTGGCCAAAATACGAGTCCATAATAAATCCATAATAATGACTGACAAAGTAGCTTCATCTAAAACAGAAGAGAAATCTGCACAGATCAAGCACCGTTTACAAACCAAAACAGCTCTATACAAATATATGGGTGGATTTTGATGTGAGAGACAACAGGAGATGAACATTTTTACTGGAGGAAGTGTTATTATGGATTATGGACCATAATAGCCAGAAGCAACAGTTTGAACTTAAAAAAAAAAAAAACATCTTAATGATGGATTTGTTTCTTACAAATACACAGCTTTTGGCTCACAAGACATTAATTGATGGACTGATGTGGATTACTTGTGGATTATTGTGAGGTTTTTATCAGCTGTTTGGACTCTCATTCTGACGGCACCCATTTGCAGTGATTTGAACGTCTTGATGGATTTGTTTTATATGAACACGCAGATTTTGGCTTCACAAGATGTTAACTGAGGGACTGGGGTGGTGTGTGGATTATTGTGATGTTTTTATCAGCTGTTTGGACTGTTTGGACATTCTGACGGCACCCATTCACTGCAGAGCATCCATTGGTGAGCAAGTGATGTGATGCTACATTTCCCCAAATCTGTTCTGATGAAGAAACAAACTCATCTACGTCTTGGATGACCTGAGGTTAAGGACATTTTCTACAAATTTTCATTTTTGGGTGAACTACTCATTTAAAAACTCACTGAAAGGTTCTTTGGGGAACCAAAAATAGTTCTTCAATTACATCGCTACAAAAACCCCTTTTTGGAAACTATATTTTTTAAAAGTGCAAAGTGAGACAAATTGATTTAAAACAAAAAGAAACAGCCTTGCTTCCAAAAATCTTGTAATAAACGGACAATATTACCATTTCTGTTTCTCTTACTAAAACAAGGGAATTGTGTGCAGCTGATCACTGAATCAATTATTCATTAACTTTAAGAGCGCACAAATGTGAGGCGCTCCAGTGTTCTGATTTGTCTTTCTAGTGGAGGATCTGGTCTCAGATTAAAACGTGGTCAAGCATAGAGGTCAGTATTTCCCAGTGGCTCTCCTCTGACTCAACACTCATGAATATTCACTCGTGCAACTACGCTAAGAGCCCCGTCCGTAAATGACCCACTAACAACCTGCTTCAGAATATATTATTGATGGCGGCTTCAATGTTCAAAACAGCCTATATGGATTATTCTAGTTTCATCTGTTTGTGTGGTACATCATAGGGCTGCACAATTATCTGAATATAAAAGACTGCAGTTACTGCTAATGCAATTAAGTCATTGTTTTGATGACAGCAGTCAGTATTTATGTCTACTTCAAATGCATCCAGATTTTCTATTTGCAGCATGTTTTTGGCAGCGGTTGAACTCCATAATCAATCACAGACTGCTCTGTTGAGAACATGAATGCAATGGCCAATCAGAGTCAACAGGCCTATTTGTGTAGTGTTTATTTAAATGGGTGTTTTAATATGTTTTACTTTCATTTGTGACTGTCACATGAAAATAAATGCTGAGGCAACATCATTAGAAACAATAACAATTACTGTTCTGATTCTAATTCCATTAATGATTCTTTCTGTACTTTTGAGAAAGTAATTTTTAGACATTTCAGACATGCAATAGAGTGCTGCAGAAATAAGTCCTAAAACTTGGAAATGATTTGCATTTTTGCACTTATGGTTGCATTGTGCTGAAGTCACTGGGTTTTTGATTAAATGTTTGAAATAAGGTCTGTGTTTAACACAAACTCAAGATATGTTCACATTTTATTCTCAAACATAAAATACATCAGTAATATGATTTTTTAAAGATTTTATGTGTCTTGAAAAAGGAGACAACTTACAAGTTTCCAAATGGGACTACAGACGTTGTAGAGGACATTAAAAGTCATCACTTTGAAAAGGTAAACTCAGTTGCTTTTACAGCCTTGTGTTTATAAAAGCACACATGCAAATTATTCTAACCTAAATTTTCCACTTGTAGATTCTAAATATAGATTGAAAGAGTTGTTGTAAACTTGATGGTGTAGTTAGTTTATAGCCTATGTTTAACTTTTTATTTCAGCTTCAAAATTCTTTAAAGTTGTGAAGATTATCATGATGAAGAAAATATGTAAAAATCATAAACTTCCGTTGGTCACAGAGCATATTTTCTGCAATAATACAAAAGCTAAAGTAAAAATCCTATTGGCTTTTTGTTCCAAAAACAAGTCGTCCCTGCAGCACTTTATTCCTTCTGCATTTAAAGTCTGTTCTGCATGTATACGGAAGATTTCATGCAGCTGCCTCACACAAAATAAGTGTTTTATGTCACTATTATCAAGTAAAATCAGCAATCATAATCTGTCATAATTGTGCAGCCCTACATTTCTAGAATAATTCACTTCATTTTCTGATCTACTGCCCAAACAACAGCACTTCAGGATGATATTATATTGCCGATCAAGATCATCATTTCAACAAACACCTCCGGGAAATCATACCGCAAGACTTTTTGCAAATATTCTTAAAGGGGTCATATGATGCTACTAAAAAGAACATTATTTTGTGTATTTGGTGTAATGAAATGTGTTTATGCGGTTTAAAGTAAAAAAAAAACAACATTATTTTCCACATACTGTACATTATTGTTTCTCCTCTATGCCCCGCCTTTTTGAAACGCGTCGATTTTTACAAAGCTCATCAGTCTGAAAAAGCGAGGACCCCTCACCCAATAAACTGGGCGCCAGGATGTCTGCGAACAACACCAGGCCCCCCTGGTCCCCATGTCAACTAATGCTGATATCACTGGTTTTATGGCCCCAAAGGAATGTGAGTAGCGAAAATCACTACCTTTTCCATAGGAAGAGACACAATGCACAGTAGAAATGGACTTTTCTACTAATTAATTCATAGGAAAACCTTTCTTTGAATGAACACACATATCCTTCAGGTCATTGTGTATGTTGTCTTTGAGATTTTATACTGTTTTATGCAGGCTTGTGAAGGAAACACTCATTCCTGTCATCCTACATATATGTAACCCTACCATGTTTAGTATCTATGAATTAGTCTTCTGATGATCTAAACGAGAGTGTATATTATATGTTGGTACATAGGCAATATATTAGTTGGAATTTCTGTCTTTCTCATTGGACAAGCCCATCTTGAGAGGCGTGAATCCTTCTCGGCCTTTAAGGCCTCACACCAGTGACCCGCCCCGGAGTCGGTGGTTTGGTTGAATTCTGAGAAGATGAAGAATTTCATTTCAGCAAACGCTCCAGGACACCCTAAGTACGTGCCAGGCTTCGGCCTTGACTTTTCCATTCACCAAGATTCTCTGACTCAAACTGGTTCTTTTTCATCACCAACTTCAGCAAAGATCAACTTGAACCGTTGGACTGCATCAAGCCTTTCTTTCAGACAGACGAGACGTGCAAGTATTCAAACTTAGTCTTATTAATTGATACATTAGGTATCATTTGCGCCTTTTCACAAAGGTGTGTTTGAACTAAGAATTTGATGTTCCCTTCAGGCTGTAGATCTGCTGAATATGCAAATGGTTCCATAACTTCATATTCTTATTTTCTCTCCTCTTTACTGAGTTAAGCTTTAACCCTTTCCTATACCAACCGTATGTGTGTGTGTGTGTGT